CAAGTTAAAAGAAAGAGTACAACTTTACAATCTGTATCCTGTCTCATTTAATCTCTCAATCAGTGTTTCAGCCGTGCAAAGACGTCAATATAATGGCTTGTAAACAATGTCACGTAACGTCACATTTACCTCAGAAAAACATAATCGGTGACCATAAACTCATTAGTCAGATAGAAAAATAAACTGTAGAGAGGGGCATTTTGCTAAATATATGCACCATATAACATATTCATTATAAATTTTACTGTTCTTCAATGTTTAATTTATGTTTGAGTAAATCCATCAAGTTTTTATGACAGCCACCATTATGTTTATATTTAAAAAAAAACGAATTGAAGTAGAAATATTATTATGTAATTGTAACTTTATTATTTTAAAAACTTAAGTGTAATTTTAACAAATCAGTCAATTTTAACCTTCAATATTATAGTAATGTAGTACCAACTGACTCTCATGTATATTTTACAGCATTAATCGAGAGATTTTTTTTCCTTGAGAAAATTTGGCATGTACTGTACCTGATATATATCCAAAAGAATTGATGTCGAATCGAATTGGTAATCGAATCGAATAGAATCGCAAGCTTGCGAATGAGAATCGAATCGAATCGTGAAATTTGTGTTAAAACCCAGCCCTGCTTACTAAGTACGTAGTTGTCAACCCCAGCAAATCTAAAGTCTTGAAACTTTATCATCTCTTTATTTTTAGATAACCAGTCAGGACAAGACAGCTCAGGTGATTCAGAGAGCTCTGGAGAAACACAACTTGGAGGAGATGAACTGCCAAGAATTTAGTCTCACACAAGTGCTTTCCAATGACAAAGGTGAGCTTCTTGATTTAATGTTTGACACTGAAATACTGAAACTATTTTCCAAGTAATTTTAGTATAATTTATATACTATCGAAGTATTCATTCATATTTATATGAGATTTTATTTGTATTATTTTGGTATTTATGTGCGTTTGACATTTTTATTCGTTTTAAAAAATATTTCTTTGTTTTTTTTTTTTTTTTTTTTTTTTCATTTTTAGTGTAGTAAATGTAACTCCTTTAAAAAGCATTATTTTTGTTTTAGGTTGTAATGTTACAGTGTTAGAATGTAATATGATTTTAACCTTTTTTTGCACTCAATATATAGCATATAGTCTACATCAGTGTTTCTCAACCCTGGTCCTGAGCGCCCCCCAACACTGCACATTATCTGACACCCATTTCAGGTCCTGGAGTTTCTTTTAATGAGCTAATGAGTTGAATCAGGTGTGTTTGATTAGGGAGGCACAGAAAATGTGCAGTGCTGGGGGGCGCCCAGGACCAGGGTTGAGAAACACTGGTCTACATGGTTACATTCACTTTATTTGTTCTTATAGCCTTTAATATAAGCATTGTTTCATTAGACAACATTGGTCAGGGTGTAAAATAACTAGTGCTGTCAAATGATTTATCGCATTCAAAATAAGTTTTTGTTTACATAATATATGTGTGTGTACGGTGTATATTTATTATGTATATATAAATACACACACATGCATATATATATTTAAGAAAAATGTTATGTTTATATGTTAAATATATTTATATATGATATAAATGATATGAATATAAATATATACATGTAAATGTAAATATTTTCAAAATATATGCTGTATGTGTGTGTATATTTATATAAACATAATAAATATACACAATAAACACAGATATATTATGTAAACAAACCTAATAAACCTTTTTTTTTTTTTTTGATTTATTCATCCAAATAGAAAAATGTAGAAAATACTGAGATATATACCATACCAGTCAAAAAATACATAGATATGATTTTTGGCCATATCTTCCAGCCCTGAGGTATCCCAATTGTAAAAGTGATGTTAACAAACTGATAATATTCCCTGAGCATTTTTATAATAAATATAATTTTCTAGATAAGTCAAGCACTGAATTATAGGGTAGAAATTAAGCAAAAAATTTTTAATTTTTTAATTACTTTGTCCAGTATCTGTATCCAGCAGTGTTCATTTAGTTGAATCATTTTCGTCATAATTTTCGTCAACAACATTTTTTTCACCGACGATAATGAACAAACTCTTTTTGAATGACAAAAACTATGACGTAAATCTATTGACATTTTCGTCAACGAATAAAAACGAGACGAAAATGTTAGGGAGGGACGATTTGGGAAGAGATTCATTCAGAACGAATCTGCTGCATGGTTCGGAGGTTCGATGCATACATATGAACTGGCGGGACATAAGCTAACATACACTTGCTGCACGTCGCATAAAACGTTAAAAAATGTCAATATGTGGGAGTAAGAGAAGAGCAGACATGTGGATAAATCTGACGACGCAAGAGAGAACTCAGTTCGGTCCGGTTTTCTGAGCGCAGACACTGAAGCATACACACACAGAAAGCGCGTCTCACAGCGTGTGAGTACTCTTTCGCGTCGCATGAATAGAGAATTACACACAAAATTATGTCGAATTGTCCGTTTTGACGAGTATTCATGTAAACACAGTTGATTACGTCTTAAGTGAATGTAAACAGTAGGGAAAACGTGTATCAGTACATTGCATCCATTGCAGCTGTGCATTCGGTTTTAAAGGGATAGCAGCCTAATTTACTTGCTATTGTCCGAGGCATTGATTTTGATCAAGCAACAAAAGAAAGACAGAAAATCACGCACTGCTCTTGACTGAAAAACTTTAGTAGCCCTAAAGATTAATCTAAAATTATTTATAGAAATAAATGTCTGCTTGAAAAATTTTAGAGAAATGCTTAATAAATGCGCTGTAACTAAACCCAATAGATTTTAGCAGACAAAATTTACTGTAGATTTAGTCGACTAAAATCTTATGATATTTAGTCAACTAAAACTAAAAACAATTAAGATGACTAAAATATGACAAACTAAATGGCATTTTAGTCAAAAGACTGACTAAAACGAAGTCAACATTTGCTGTCAAAATGAACACTGGTATCCAGTAATAGGACCTTTGAATATTTTTGTGGGCAATGGGGGGGCCTTGGAGTCACAAAAATTTGAGAAGCACTACTTTAGAGGTGGTATATGAGGTCATTTTCTGTTTTGGCTTTAAATGTTCATCTTTCTCTCTCTCAGGCTAAACAAAGAGCAGAGGTATTACAGTCTACCCACAAGTTCTTCTCTGAGCAACAACAGCTCAAGGCTCCAGTCAGCAAGCAAACCCGTATAGAAGGAGCAGGCAAACCCACTGACATCATCACTTCAAATCACCAGGGGGCGCCATCAGACCGCGCAGAGTCTGACAAATCTGCAACAACCAAACCCATCCGGACGGGTCCGATCAAACCACAGGCCATCAAACCAGAAGAGAGCAAATAGTCGTTACTGCTTCAGGAAGGACAGATGGATGGAAGGATGGACTGAGAGGCCGAGTGCCAGGGGAGGGGGGGCGACGTCCTACAGCACCTGAAAGTGGTAGAGAAGTATAGGGAAGTAGAGTGATGGAGGTTAGTTTTATGAGGTGCTGTGCATTTCCCTCACACTTACTGTGCCTGTTTTCCTCATCCTTTTATCAGTCCATCCATTCTCTCCTCCGCTGTGGTTGGCATTACAGAGAAATCGCCCCTCCATTGTGTGAACTGTACATCCTCAGTGAACAATGAAGGTAGACATCAACATGAGTTACACATGCTGCTGAGAATGCCATTTTTATAGCAATTTGATTTACTTTTCACTTTCTCGTTTCCTCGTGTAGAGAAACGCATTTTAGGCAGGCAAATGTCTCCTTTTTTTGATTGAAGATATTTTCCCCCCATAATCTTATTTTTTTTTCTGTCTTTATGTTCTCAAGCAATGTTTCAGTTATGGCGATAAAGATACAATGAAAAGTCTACACACACACTCGCGCATACCTTTTATCGTGTGTATGTGTACACCTCTCTCAACATTACCTGCACTCACAACTTGCTTTGACTTCAACCATGTGTATTGGCCTTAACAATACATAGAACATTATTTCAGCTGATTAGGAATTGATTACCGATGTATCCGATTAATTTATCGATTGCAGTCTCCACTGTGAGCCTTCCCTCTTGCCTTCTCCGTAGTCTCAAGAATCGAAGATTGTGTGTTTGCGTGTGTGCGCAAAATACCCTTGAATCTTTAGCCAAAGTTTAGGCATCAAGAGACCTGAATCCTTTTAAGATGAATATATATGATTTTGACAAAGACGGCTCAGCTTGGTCAACAGATAGTAGAATTATGATGGATTTAGTTTTTGTAAACGGTTCCTCCAGACCCAGGCCTATGTTTGATGTGTCCTAAGCTTAAGCCCCTCCACTTTTCTGTGAATGAGGACAGATGTAGACATGCCCACTTCTATAACTCCAGTCTTTTACCTTCCAGCCTCTTCACACAGCTCCCAACCATGCTGCTGACCAGCTTTGACTCTCCTGACCAATCACTGCAGAGGAGGGGTGGGGTTTGGGTTGGGGTCAGTGGTCAAGCAATTTAGGTTCAGTGCTAAAGAGCGTAGCTGCAATTTTAGAAAAGAAACGTCGAGTGTGAGGCTGCCAGACTCAATGGGGGGTTTGGGGCAAAAGTGGTAAGTCTCGAACAGAGATTACCACATGTTTTGGACTACTCTGTTATGGTGACCACAGACCTGAGTATATAAGGTCTTTCTCCAAACCACTCCTCTTGGGTTGCTATTGCAAAGAAGGGGCCTGCAGTTGAACAAGGGTTTCAGTACGGCCCCCCATTTCTTGTTTAGTAGGAATGAGAAACTACAAAGAGAAGGGGAGGAGAGGGAATTTTTTTTTTTTCTTTTCTTTTCTTTTGATTTCTGTTTTTGTTTTACTTGTACAGGGGTTAAATTACTGTATTAAAATATGTAAGGTCTTATTTACATTCTCCTGGTTTGGTTACAGAAACTAATAAAATAATATGCTGTAAAAATGAGCTGTGGTATTGATGTCAGTTTTTTGGGGGGTGTTTTGAGGTTATGAATTCATTAATATATCTCTGTGCATGCATACAAAAAAAAAGAAAGAAAATGAAAAGCTGACTTTTTAAATCTTTATTTTCATATAAGTTAATACACTTCCATAGCTACAAGATTCCAATCTTAACATCTCAAGCTGCACAGTCTTGAGGCAAATTCAAAAGAGAAAACGGAAAATATTTAACTTATACAGAGTTACGATAGCATAATTACGTAAGGATTAGAGCATGTACACAACTCTGTACAATGTATCAATCAAGAGGCAGGCTTACTGTAATGAATTGTATGCCATTATATTTTTCCCCTTCCTTGAATTTATTCTGTGCCGTAAACAAAAAAAGAAGAGACGTTACTTACAAAGGTAGAAAAATAATTTATCTATTAACATGTTAAGTGGACAAAATCACAGAGGACATAAATGTAGCCTCAATTTATTAAAAACCTGATATGATTAGATCATTTTTCCATTTTGGAATTTGTTAGTCAAAGGAATATATTTTATAGCATTTAGCATATTTATCATGGACGGAAGCAAAAATATAAATTATTAATGTGAAGATGTGCAATGTAGTCACTGGTATGCTTACTGTCTTTAACTGTTGTCTTGAAAATAACCGCTTATATAGAAGTCATTGTGCTTGAATATTATCAGGAAAATTTT